CAGTTTTTTTTATTTTTTTTAGAAAATATTTGGAAAGATATGGTGAATATTTACTAACCATATTTCCTAGATTTTAAGATATTTTCGCAGAATATATATTCTACCACCCGTAGACAAAAGGAAAAAACTGGAAGATGAATTCTACGAATGGTGGATTATAGTAGTTACGGTAGAATATATATTCCGAAAATTGGTAGAATTTAGAACGTGTACTCTACCAAATCAATTAAATCGTAGAATATAGAGTAATGAGTAGAACCTATATTCTACGGGTGCGTAGATATATCAATAATCCGTAGAACCTATATTCTATATACAGTAGACTCAGACCAAATTGTAGAATATATATTCTACTACCCCGTAGACGGTAGAATTTGATTTCTGGAAAAGGTAGAATAGAAAATTATTTTTAATTCTAACCATATTTTTTTAAAAAAATATACTTATATTTTTCCCAGTGACTCTTTTATTGTTTTGAATTTTTCTAATTTTTTTTGCTGTTAAAACTATTTTAATAATTTATTAGAAATGTCAAAAGGGCAAATTAGGTAAAAATAGAGAAAGAGATAGTAGGACAAATTCAAATAAAATTTGACCCATTTACACAATTTTCCCTTATTATTATTATTATGTTTTCACACAAATTATGTTAATTTTTTGGTCATCCAACCCTGTATCTTTTTCTTCCAACATTTTGTTTTCCTTGACCATTCACAAATTTATTGTTTTTCTTTTCCTTGATTGAGAATAATCATTCGATGCATCGCATTCAAAGTCGGCGAAGAAGTTTTGGAGAGTTTTGTCTTCCCGTATACTTTTACGTATAAACTATAAACGTTATTCATTAGTTCTGTGATATGAAGATAAAATAATAGACAAAAAAAGAACAACATACATAGATAAAGGTAAGAAATTTTAATTTTTACACGTCTTGTGTTTAAACTAAAGAAATTAACGCTTTGGTATTATCAAATTTCAAATATTCGATGAATTTAAAAGTTTTTGTCAAAAAGAAAATATATGTATAAACATATGCAACTTGATTAAATTTAAAATATTAGTAAGGAACGAGCTAAGGGATAACTAAAATATACATATCGTCAAACCTAAATTGTGTATTTATATTATATAATATATTTCACATGAATAAATTCCGAATTTCAAACAACTCAATTACTTAAGTGAAAGAGATCAACTTAACGTTTTATCTATTTTATGTTTCATAAACATACAAAAAGTTAATTGATCCACAAAATCACAAACCCTGCAATGCTACAATTTTATTAATACCAAAACAACAAAAAAATGTATAAACAACATACCCGGGCGTAGCTCGGGACATCTCATAGTTTATATAAATGAAAGAAAAAATCTATTATATAATTAGAGAGTTCTTTCTCCATTGAGGGTGTCCATCATCAAAACAAAAATTGTTACATTAATATTTATAGTAAATGTTTATTTTAATGCATGTTTTTATATTTACTGTTATTTATAATTCTTGAAATTTAAATTAAAAAACGAAAATAAGTAAGCACATAAATAAAAGAAGTAAACACATGTTATGAAATATTTTTACT